GAGGAGCAGGAAGGCTGACGTTTCGGGCCTAGACCCTTCTTCAGAAAATTTTCTGCATTTTCTGAAGGGTCTAGGCCCGAAACGTCAGCCTTCCTGGTCCTCTGATGCTGCTTGGCCTGCTGTGTTCATCCAGCTCTACACCTTGTACATCCCATGTACAAGAGAATCTTGGCATTAACCATGATTTCACATTTTATGCAGTCTTAAATTATTTGAAGACATTCTGTCCTTGAATGATTGCACAGCTTCGAACAACTGTGTTCTAAGCTGGCTGGTTGGAGATCTTTGAGTAGTGAAAGTAAAAAATGCTGGAAATCACAGTGGATCAGGCAGCATCCATGGAGAGAAAGCAAGTTAGCATTTTAAGTCGATGACTCTTCATAATGTACATGAGTAGGTTGTACGTCTGGCTCACATTTACTGTTAGTATTTATTTTGCCTGTTAATTATAGAAACAGATTAAGCTATTGGCATTGTATTATCAATCCAGCACTAACTCAAGATTACAGTTAGAAATTGCAGATTTCATTTTTAGTTGACTTCTGGTCAAACATAAAGACCGTTGAGTTGAGTTTAAGAATAAGTTGGATATTTTAGTTATCTTGTGGCCCCAGTCTTTGTAGAATCAGGCAATCTTCAATGACACCCTATCTCATTCGGACTAGGCTGAATAAAACAGTTTTTGTGAAGGTGTGGCAAAGAAAGTATGGCTTCATAGCACAGTGAGTGGGCTGTCTTTCCATGCATCTTTTTAGTTCAAACGCTTTTTTTTTGTAACTAAACATTCTCTAAATATTAGTAGTGGATACAAGTGGCTTCTGTGTTGTGCTGATGGGTTTGTGTTTGTTGGTGGCTAAGGGATATCAGTCTAGGGTAGTCCTCTTATTCACTTGTGGACTCATTCAGCAACTTTGGCTTGGATTATTGTGGTACAGCCAGACAATAATTTTCCCTTTTAATCAAATGTTTGCAATACCAGGTGTACTGCTCCTTGAAAAATGCAGTTTCTGAGAATAGGATTATTCTGTGGTAAGTGCTTTCCTCTTAAGTTCACTTGTCAAAAATCAAATTTATGAAACTGTAAAATTTAAGGACCGGTGAGTGAAGTTGTTATTAATTAGAGCTGATTTTAAAAACCTTTGTTGTGAAGGTGTTGGGTTTACCGATTTTAGTATTAAAAAGGAGAGAAAATCTAAATCCAAAAATCTGCGTAAATTTTAGGGAGCATGATCAATATTAACCTCTAGCATCATCTTAAGTTCTTTCTACTTTGTTAGTAGAGCAAAAATCCCTGAATGTTTACTTCACCTGTTTTGCGAATTGTGAAAAGGAGGGAAAAATAAATAAAACACTAAATTGTAATAATGCAGCTGGTATCAGTGTTTCACACAGAAATATACTCAAAGAAGTAGGAAATTGTGGAAATTTAATTTAAAAAAAGACTTGGGCAAGTGGAAGGCCGGCAGTTATTGCCCATTCTTAGTTGCTATCAAAGTCTTCAACTTGTCTATGAAGTGAAGTTGCATCCACAGTGCTACTTAGAAGGGAACTAGAGGACTTTCACCCAGTGACTCTGAAATAACAATGACCGATTTCTAGCACAGTGCATTTCTTGATGGGGTGGTCTGGGGCTGATGGTGTTTTTTTTGTAGACCTAGATGCTCCTCTTCTGGACACTGGAGGTTGGTGGTTCGGTTGGTGCCATTGTATAAACCCTGGCATGTTGGACTGGTGCAACCTGTAGGTCATGCACCCAGATAATGTTCTGTCTTGTTTGTCTTTGTGCCTGGCCCTTTGTTGTATAGCAAGGTTCCTGTCGGGGTGTGCAGCTACACACTTGCCCATCTCATAGCATCTGTTCTGTGTGGCCTGTTTGTTGCATGGCACAATAGATTCCAGATTCCTGTGTTGCCTCACACCCAGGTTTAGTGGAAACTTTGACTGCAACTATGCTGAGCTGGTGGTGGAGGGAGTAGGTGCTTTAAGGTAGTGGATGAGCTGCTGAGCAAACTGGTTGCTTTGTCTTAAGGACCGCATGCTGCATTTTATCAGCATTTCTATTTTCTGCATGCCTTTCTTCTCCACAAAGGAAACTTTCAATACCAGTTTAAGGGCTGAAATATTTACTAGGATTTGCATTAATGTTTAAGAAGTTGAATCCTGACCGAGGCAATACATTCTTGCTGCAAAAATCAGGATTGCAATTCTTTTTGCCCTCTGAGTTTTGTTCTCTGGTTTTATCATTGTTCCCTCAGGCAGATCTGAAAAGCTCCGTCTGTTGTATACGAGGGATGCAGTAACTCCAACTTGGGGTTGGATTTAAAATGAATAGCTTGGGGCATACTTATAATTTGGATCTATTAAATTTCTACACTTAATCCATGTACTCAGTATTCCTTAATATGAAGTACAGTTCTCCAGCTGAGGTCTGCAAATGGGAATATCCAGTTTATAAAATCCGAATGGCCGTTTCAAGGTTTGAGAAAAGAGCTGATCTGTTGGTTGGGATTTTTGCGAGCTGAGCACTTCCCGTATTTGAGTACTGTGTACATGAACTGACTGTAAAAATAGAGCGGATTCAAATTATAAATGCAGCTTAACAATTCACTTCAGAACCAAACCCGTTTTAAAGCCATCACAGACGATGTAATGAACTGGTTGCATTCAAACTGCTGTGTGCACTGGGGGAGCAGGCATTGCAAGCTTGCAGTGCCCTCCACTCCCTCCTCTTTCTCGTCCTATACAAAATAAACCCTGACTTGCCAAGTATAGGAAAAAGCTGAACTTGCTGTCAGCAGCAGCACCTCCCTTACTCCCTCCACCCAGGAGCAATCCACTATAAGTCCCCATAGCTTGTGGTCCAAAGCCTGACTTTGTCTTTTATTCATACACGAGATGAGAGCGTTGCTGGCTAGGCGAGCAAATACTGCCCATCCCTTATTGTCCAGAGGGCAACTAAAAGTCAGGAGACTGACTGCTGAGAGTCAGGAGTCACACGTAATCTAGACCAGGTAAAGATGACAGTTTCCTTTCCTAAAGGACACTAGAAAGCCAGATGGGTTTTCTGACAAATTGCTGGACATGGGGCGTGAGTGGAAAGGGAGAAATGGTCACTTTTAGTGACATGGCCTTTTTGTCAGAATTGTATTAACACACTTTCACAGATGTTGTCTTATCCTTCAAGTATCTCAACCTTTTTTTGCTTTGATTCAGAGAATCTCATTTTTGTCTCTTGAGATGGTTCTGCAAATTGCTGCAATGTGTATATCATATGTGCTGTAGTAAACAGATTCTGTGAATGGGCAGAATGTTGATCTTGAAGATTGTGTGGCAGGTTATGACTTTGAGGTGACAACATTAAATTTGGCCACCCTATTTATAATGCTTCAATTGTTATCTTTTCAATAGGCTTTCCATCTGGTGTCTTGGGCTCTCTTACTCCCATGTTGTCTGGCTTATTCTAAAATTGTCCAAATTTTGGATTTTACATAGGTGTCCAACCAAGATTTAAAATCTGAGCAAGTGAAGAGACGATGACCTAGTAGCGTTGTTGCTAGATTAGTAATCCAGCCACCCAGGTCACGTTCTAGGACCCAGGTTTTAATCCTGCCACAGCAGATGGTGGAATTGGAATTCAATAAAAAATCTGAAATTAGAATCTGATGACCATGAAACCATAGTTGATGTTGGAAAAATCCATCTGGTTCACTAGCTGTCATTCTTACCTGGTCTAGTCCAAAAGTGCCTTCAGACCCACAACAATGTGGTTGATTCTTAACAGTAAATGCTGGCCTAGCTAGTATTACCCCCATCCTTTGAATGAATTGTGTGTTTGGGAATCTTGCGTATTTCTCTGGAGAGGAGTAGACCATCTGATCCATCAAGTCCAGCAAGCAGTGATATCTAACAATAAATCACAAAATCTAGTCTTCACGCCATCTGGGAGTTATGTCATCTTCGGGAAGCAGGAAATCAGTTTAATTTAAAAAACAGACCTAAGTCAGTTTTCCTGAATGGGTATTCAACAATAATTTAATGAGATATTGCTGAACTGCCAGGGAAACGATAGTGAGGGTGCAACAGTTGCTTTAGAACTGCTGTAGTAAGGAGGGAAAAAAACATGTACTGAACTTCTTGATGCAGGCCATTATGCATGAAATTTGCAATAAAGTTGTATGTCATTCTGAGTGTGATTGGTCTTGACTATAATTTCTTCCTCCCACTACTGCATCTGCACACACTCCATATCTTGCAAAATTGTGTGAGTGCTACCACCTATTACCAGGGTATGAGTAATGGCTACTTGGATAATGGGTGTTTGGGTGCCTGTGGAGCAGCACTGCATTGTGTACCTTTTGAGGTTGGCAGGCGATAATTTGTTTGAGTTGGAGATTTCAGAGTTAGCTACCAGCCTTACTTGGTGGTTATTCTGACTCTAGATATTTTAATCAATCTGTTCAGATGTAATGCATCTCCTGGAGCAGCTGGGACTTGAACTCAGGCCTCCTGACCCAGAGATAGAAACACTACCACTGTGCCACAAGAACCCTTATCCTGACTTTATATGATTGGCACTGTTTATTTGGTCCTTTTAAAACATTAGGAGGTTTAACTTCATTCCAACTGTTTCCTGCGCATGAAAATTCAAGGTTTCTTTTCTGTTTTGCAATTGTATTTTTGCCAGCGTCTCACTGTTGCTATTAGTGAAGACAGAAACTGATACTTTCCCTTTATAAATTCAAATATATTCACTGAGTGGAATGAAGATGACAGTTCACAAAAGGACTTCAAACTTTGCAATTTTTGATTTCTGATTTGCATGTTCTGGTGTGTCTGTTTTTTTCATGTTTCTGGCAATGCACTGACCAGTTGGGAATTCTACCTCCCAGTATCTGCTGCAATCTCCTGAAATGTGTTTAATATTTAATGGCCTGAGTACGGGCTGCTTTGTAAGATTGCAAAGAAAGGCAGGAGGAAAAGTGATGCAGTAATTCCCCGTGTAGATTTTTTTGATGTTATTTGTCTAGCTAACAGAATTGTAACAATTGAGAAATGCTTTACATCTGTTAATTCAAACTGGTTTAAAGGTAGCATTGATTAGTTTCATTGCTCATACAAGAGGCTGTATCTCTCTTTATTGCCTGTAAGCAATGAAGGGCATGTGTGACCCAGCTGGAGATTATCATAGCTCTGGCAAGCCACTGAGGAAGTAATGGGGGATGGGCAGACATTAAAATGGAATCCTTTAAAAACAACTAGTTTTAATAAGGAGTGACTGAACACAAGTGAAAGCAGTTTCTCAGACAAGAACGGAGGGACAAAACCACCTTGCAAAAACAAAAATGCTCAGCGTTGTAATGACTAAGAACGTAAGGAGCAAGATATTTACGTTTGTTCATCTCCTGAAAACAGTTTATTTTATTTTGAAAACACTCTCTCTCGAGGTCTGAAGGTTCACAGAATGAATATTGTGCATGGAGTTACACTAAAGCCGTGCAGAAGTTTCTGACTGCATTGTCAGTGCTAACTTTATTGACTCTGGGCCTCAGTTGGTATGGTCAACTCTGTAATGGCCAATGGTTTCCTTGGCTAAAAAGAATACACAAGACAGGAACCTACTTTGTATGCTACGTCCTTGAGACGCCTGTAAGTTTGGCAAGAATACATTCATTCTCCATCTTTAATTCTTCTGATAGGCCTTGTACTGTAAGGAATATTTTACAATTATTTTAGCATGTATTTGAGAGTGACGCCTTGAGCATGCCTGGCAGGTTCATGTTTAATTTCATAGGAACCTCTTTTGATACTAGCTCATAGCAAATTTATTAAAGTTAGCTTTTCAAGTCATCGTGATGTCTAGTTTGTCATCCCAATATTGCACCACAACTGCTACATGGCAGTGCCTATAGTTGGCTGACATTCTTGTTGTTAAACGGCCAGCCTGCACTGTCAAGGCTAAAATGTGAAAAATAAATAGCACTTGGATGAGATAGCATAAATGATGTTAGTGCCTGAGACACTTAACTGCACCCTCTAGAGGGTGCAGTTAGGGAAGGAGTCATTGAACAATTGGTTTTATGGTATGAGAATTATTGTGGTATTGAAGTATGAAATGTGAAATCTCAGTTTACATTCAGTACATTGGGTTTTACCTTTTCAGGTTATTTGGAGGAATTGCCCTTTTAATTTTTCAGAAATCGATTTGAGGCAGTAGGAACCAGTAGGAGCTTGTTGACTCATTAATGCTGCCTTCATATACAGTAGTGAGTCAAGCTGCATTGGAGCGTGGAAATCATGCACTGGTTCAGTATGAAATTTAGGCTTCTACTACATTCCTCTTGCATCCCCCAAACTCCCGTCCGCCCCTGAAGAAGATTTCTAGTTGATTTAGCACCCATTCTGAACAGTTTGAATCTCGTCTAAGTTGCTGACCTTCAGCAGACTAGTTGCTTGGTAATCAAGACCAAGTTCAGTCCTATCTCCTGTCAACATTTAAATATGTAAGAGTTCCTGGAAAATGAAGGAACCCTGTGTTCTTCTGACACCCTTGACCAATGAATTGGATTGTAGCAAATCTGTCATTACCGGTTATATACTGCTTGTAATGTTATAAATGATTATTTTTGAATTTTGCTGGTGACTGTTGAATGTTTTGAAAGTAAAACTAGATTATTTTTGATCATCAATCAGCAATATTCTACTATTATTATCTATCTGTTTTGGACTTTAGTATAGTGAAGATATGTACATTTTTGTAAACTGTAATGCATTTCTGTACCGTTTTTCCCATGTGGTTAGTCAGAAGACCATTTATTTCATTATTCTCCCACTTCCATCGCTTCTGCAAATCCTCAACCCACCTGTCCTGAAGGCAGATGCTTCTGCTACAGTGTGTTTTCACAGTTGCACACCTCTCTGGCAGCCTTTTGATTCTGATTCTGGAAATCAAAGTTGTTTGCCTTTGGATGACATTCTAGTGAAATAGATTCTGAAGCTGTCCGTGGCCAGAGTTGCTGGGTCATAGAAAATATAAAAACCCCATTTGAATTATTTTTCTTCCTTCTATCAATTTACGTGCCCTGGTCATTATCCTTTACAACTCTCGCCCACTGAGAGTGGGGCCCATATTTTTAAAAGATTGGTTTGGTCTCATGGGTGCAATTGCTCTGTTTGAATGAATGAAGATGCTCTGTTTCCAACCTTTGTTTTGATGAAAATGGTAAATTCTCTCCTCTCATCCACCAGCCCCCCCCCCCCCCCCGAGCAAAACCCCTTGTATTTGATTCCCCTTGACCCAGGCCCGTTGTATATGAATACACTCTTGGGTCTCTTGATGTTACACTCTGCTTTTCCATCACCACCAAATTCTAATACATTTTTATTCTGACTTGTTTCCGTTCACTTGGGTTTGTGTTTTAAATTTGCTTTGGTTTAAAATCAAAATGAAAGCAAGTTTGGGGAAAAAAAACACTAAGAAGGTACTGAATCGAATCCATCAAAACTGATTGAAGCATTTATGTTGTGAATGTAAATCCCTCTGAATTCTAGAAGTTATGGATTCAAATTGTGTATTTTAGAATAATCACGAAGCATTTACCATGTTATTTTACTGTTTTAAAAAGAAAATAATATTGCTGATCAGCTTATTTTAAATAAAAGTCAAATGAAGAACAAATCTGTTTCCCAATTGTAAAAATATGCTGCTGGCAAAAGTTTTTTTTTGTCTTTTAGAACAATTGACTTTCCTTTTGTGTGAAATATGAAAGCATTAAATAACAGTAACTTGGTTAGAAACAATTTCAAATTATTTTATTGCAGAAATGATACCAACTCTCCCCTCAAACCAAAGTATGTACACTCTTGTACTGGGGCCAGCCATGACAGGCTATTAGACCAGTGTGCAAGTCTCTTTCTCCAATTTTTTTCTTTCTTCGCTAAGGGTGCTGTTTTCCATGGGTTGATAACAAATCTTGCGATTCTTATCGAAGCGATCATTCTTCATGCCAACAAGTGATTTGACTGCTGAAGCTATCAAAGCCAAAGGCTAATCTTTCTTTGATATACCCTTTCTATCTGTGTACTTCCTAGCAGTGGGTCAGGATTGAAGATTGATTAGGAACAGCGTCTGATAATCTGTATGTTTCCTGTAGGAAACGGAACTGTATCATTAGTCAATCACCCAGCAGCATGCACATCATTCCAAAGATGTGCTAATATTGCTCAAATAAATTGGAGAGCTGAGAATGGTGGAAATTGAGTTTGTCTGTCGTGCAAATAGGAAAGTTAAGCGGTGCTTACACTTGGGTGGCAGAAAGGACTTATGCTGCCTTTTACAACCACTGGATGACCCAAATCTTGTTTCAGCTAATTAAGTACTTTTGAACTGTGGACACACTTGTCATGTAGGAAATGCAACAGCTAACTTGTGCACAGGAAGCTCCTGCAAATAACAATGTGATAATGACCAAATCATCTGTTTTTGTGTCGTTAATTGTGGGACATATATTGGTTTGGGCACGAGTTAGTTCCCAGGCTGCTCTTCAAAGTAATTCCTTTGTATCTTTTGCTCTGAGGGAACAGATTGGGCCTCCAATTCACTTCTCAGCTGGAGTATCGATTCTTCATATTTTCTTTGTATTCAAATTCCAGAGTGGAACTTGCACATGCAACTTCTGACTTAGGCTAGAATGCTACCAACTGAGCTTCTGCTGACACTGTTCATACTCCTAATTATTGTTTATTCCCATCGTCAATCAAAACACGTAGAGAATTTTTTTTTTTTTTTTTGCTGGGCTGCCAAGAGATATCAAGTGAAATGTGAAGGCATAGATGAAATATTTTTCTCATTGAGGTATTAAGAACACACCAGAGTGATGTTAGAAATGCAACTTCACAGATCATTGAATTTATGTTCCATCATTCTGCCACGCTATTCTCAAGCTCTCCCAGTACTGAACAGTCCAGCTTTAGTCACACCAGACAAAGGAGAGACCGAGGAGCCGGGTCACTCGTCAAACGGTCAAATTTGCATGGAATCTGAGAGGGTCTTCAGGAGGTAAACAATATTCTGCAATTGGTTAGTGATGGGAGTGAGGAGAGGAGGAGCTATTGTTTTCAGTGTACCAAAAGGCTTGTACAGAGGATCAGTGTAAAAATTGATTTCTTTTTACTACAACATTAGTGTGTGTGAAATGACCAGATTTTTTCAGATGGGAGAACTGTGATTTAATGCTAGTGGATGTTGAGCTTCCAAAGCAATGTGGAACTGAACCTTGATAGTCAGATTCAAATTTATCCCTTTACTTTTTTAAGGAGACCATTAGGTGTGGTTATGAGTTGTATAGACCACAGAAGTCCCACATTTGAACCCTTTTCTGAGCTCAGATGTAAAAAAATCACTGGGTTTCCCACTGATTACTCTCCAGTGACCCCTGCTGGAAAATTCCCCCCATGGACAGGTTCAGTTCTGATGGTCCAGAATAGAAGAATAGAATCCCTATCAAAGTCTCCACTGGCTATTTGACAACCAACCTCTCTGCTCCTATGATGCTGCTTGGCCTGCTGTGTTCATCCAGCCCTGCACCTTGTTGTCTCGGATTCTCCAGCATCTGCAGTTCCTACTATCTCTGACAAGTATGGCTGTTTTTTTAAGGTGTTGGTATGTAGTGTACCTCCAGAAGAATTGGAAGCATTCTAGAAACATGATGTAAAGGTTATAGGATGAGATAAAGAAGGGAGGAGGTTGTCCTTTTGCAATTTTGAACAAAGAAAGACGCTCCCAGGTAGAATGCTACTACAGATTCCCAGTGGGACCAGCATTGCATCTTTGGTATTTGGCAATTAATCTGCCCACAGGCTGGCTGAAAGGAGATGGAAATTGTCAATTATAACTTAATGTGCATTTTTGTTTCTTATAGAGTGCAGCTGCAGCACCAAGTCCTGTACTTGGAAACATTCCTCCAAATGATGGGATACCAGGAGGCCCCATTCCTCCAGGCTTCTTTCAGGTACGATGACTTTCATCCTTCCTTGAAACTGTTTTGAATTGATTTTTTTTTTTTCCTTTGTGAATCAGATTTATAAAAATAATTCGACCAATGTGTGAGACCTATTCCTTTTCAATTTGTGAATTCAGGGTATTTGTGGGGAGCGGGGTTTTGGGCTATAGTGGAGAGTGTTGGAACCCCTCCACTACCCCAAGTAGATTTTCCTTCAAGATCAGTTGGTACACCTGCTCTCAGTTCATTCAGGAGGCTGCCAGTTGATGTGCACAGAAGATGGTGAGCTGTGTGTTACTCACTAGTTCTTTCCAAGACTTATATATATGACTTTGGATTTTTGAAGCATTTCCTGCCTCCAGAGACACAGGTGAGGCAGACAAAGCACGTGTTTATGGCTGTTTCCACAGGCTAGGTTTCCAACTTGTCACTAGAGCCTATAACTTGAGGGGTGCAACTCTGCTTCAAGCATCACTGACCAAGAGACTTTCTCTCTGTTACGACTTGTCACAGACAGATTGAGAGGATTTACAGACTGATACTCAATCTCATTATAAACTCACCTTCCAAGGCCAAGTCCTGGATTGAGTGTCAAAACTGGGAGCTCCTGGCTCAGAGGCAGGGACCCTTGCCACAAACAGATTTACGTATCACAAATTGAAATGAGACTGGTGGGGAAACCCAAAATACGTGATCCCATGTTTGCAGTTGACTACACACACCCAAAATATCACCAATCTCCAGTTTTTAAAACTGCTTTTTGATTTCTTGTGCAAATCCTGTCTTTGAGAATCTGAAATATTTTCTAAAGGTACAGTCAGGTTTGAGTCATCCACCTAAAGTTGACTGCATGCTGATCTCTGTCAACACATTCCGCATTAGGATCTTTCATCAGGGACAGTGATTGCTGAACCTGAGAAAGGACCCTTGAATTTCTTGTCTATTTGTTTTAAAATGTAATCTCAATTGTATTATAGGGATATACTGCTTTTATGGTCAATTCCAAAGAGTTTTAATGTGTGAGGTGAAGAAAAATGTAATTGATTGTTTGCGCACCCTTGAGTCTTGATCAATGTTGGCTGATTTTTAATTTTCCATTCATGAATTATGGGTATATTGAGCGTTAAAAATTATGAAAATTCTTTGGTTCATTGAAATTGAAACACAGAGCATCAACGTAAGGAATGAGAATAGTTGGCTGTATTTGCTATTCACTGTTCATAAAATTGAATAACCCAAAATTCCAACACTCATTTCCTGTCTTTCCCATCTCTTCTCTCACTCTGTTCTTTTCCCCCAAAAATTTGGATGAGTTGATGAAAAACAACCAATGCCTGTGGAATTTTATATTCCTACATATGTCAGAATCTCGAGAAAATCACAGTCCTAAGCGCTAAGTGTCGGCTAGGTCCATCATACCTCCTCGTCTTTGAAGGACCTCTTCCAATTATTATTGGTTTGGTCCAATTTCCTCTTTCCTTCCCCACAGTTACACCAATTTCTTTCTTTTCAAATATCAGCCTGCCTTTTAAAATTTACAATTAAACCTGTATCTACCACCCTTTTTGTCCGTACATTCAAAATCACGAAAATTGCTTTATTCATGAAATTAGAACATAGAACAGTACAGCACAGCACAGGCCCTTCGGCCCACGATGTTGTGCCAAACTTTTACCCTAATCCTAAGGTCTACCTAACCTCCACCCCTACCTTATACTATCGTCCATATGCCTATCTAATTGTCACTTAAATGCCCCTAATGAAGCCGACTCCACTACCCGCTCCGGCAATGCATTCCACGCCCTGACCACACTCCTGAGTAAAGAACCTACCTCTGACGTCTCCCCTATATCTACCTCCATTCACTTTAAAACTATGCCCCCTCGTAATAGCTACCTCCACCCTAGGAGAAAGTCTCTGGCTGTCTACTCTATCTATACCTCTGATCATTTTGTACACCTCTATCAAGTCACCTCTCATCCTTCGTCATTCTAAGAAGAAAAGCCCCAGCTCTGTCAACCTTTCCTCGTAAGACCTTCCCTCCATTCCAGGCAACATCCTGGTAAATCTCCTCTGCACCTTTTCCAACGCTTCCACATCTTTCCTGTAATGAAGCGACCAGAACAGGACACAATACTCCAGATGTGTCCAAACCAGGCTTTTGTATAGCTGGAACATAACTTCACGGCTCTTGAACTCAATCCCTCTATTAATGAAAGCTAACACACCATACGCCTTCTTAGCAACTCTATCCACCTGGGTGGCAGCTCTCAGGGAACTGTGGACGTGAACCCCAAGATCCCTCTGCTCCTCCACACTGCCAAGAATCTTTCCGTTAACCTTGTATTCTGCTTTCAAGTTTGTCCTTCCAAAATGAATCACCTCACGCTTTTCAGGGTTAAACTCCATCTCCCACTTCTTAGCCCAGCTCTGCATCCGATCAATGTCCCTTTGTAACCTAGAACAGCCCTCCGCACTGTCCACAATGCGACCCACCTTCGTATCGTCCGCGAACTAACTTAATCCACCCTTCCACTCCTTCATCCAAATCATTTACAAAAATCACAAATAGAAGAGGACCCAGAACAGATCCTTGTGGTCCACCACTCGTAACTGAGCACCAGGTTGAATATTTTGTCCACTACCACCCTTTGTCTTCTAAGGGTCAGCCAATTCTGAATCCAATCTGCCACATTTCCCCCTATCCCATGCCTCCTTACCTTCTGCATGAGCCTACTATGGGGACCCTTATCAAACGCCTTACTTAAATCCATGTATACCACTTCCACTGCTCCACCTTCATCCACGTGTTTGGTCACCTCTTCAAAGAATTCAGTAAGGTTTGTGAGGCATGATCTATCCCTCACAAATCTGTGCTGACTATCACGAATCAAACTGTGCCTTTCCAAGTAATCATAAATCCTATCTTTCAGAGCCCTTTCCAATAATTTGCCCACCACTGAAGTAAGACTTACTGGCCTGTAATTTCCAGGGTTATCCTTATTCCTTTTTTGAACAAGGGAATGATGTTTGCCACTCTCCAATCTTCCGGCACTATACCCGTGGACAGTGAGGGCGAAAAGATCATCGCCAACGGCCCTGCGATCTCTTCCCTCGCTTCCCATAGAATCCTTGGATAAATCCCATCAGGCCCGGGGGACTTGTCTATCTTCAACTTCCTCAAAATTCCTAGCACATCTTACTTATTAACAGCAACCTCCTCTAGCCTACCAGCCTGTTTCACACCATCCTCCTCTACAACTAGGTCCCTCTCAGTTGTGAATACCAAAGAAAAATATTCATTAAGGACCTCTCCTATCTCTTTAGGCTCCGTGCACAAATTCCCTTTACGATCCTTGATCGGCCCTACCCTTTCTCTGGTCATTCTCTTATTCCTCACGTACGTGTAAAAAGCCTTGGAGTTTTCCTTGATCCTATCTGCCAAGGTTTTCTCATGCCCCCTTCTAGCTCTCCTAAGCCCTTTCTTCAGCTCCTTCCTGGATAACTTGTATCCCTGTAGAGCCTTTTCCGTTCCTTGTTTCCTAAACCTTACATAAGCATCCATTACATTAGCCAAGTAACTTAAATCTGTGACCGCTGATTACTAACTCTCCTACGAGCAGAAACATATGCTTCTATACCCTGTCAAAATGCTTTATGGCTTTGAATGCCTCTTTAAATGATAATTTTTACTGCTTTAAGAATGAGAATCCCAGATTCTGTGATCCTTCTGCGTGAAGCTCCTCATATCTGATATTTTTTTGAAAATCTTCTGTGGGAGCAGAATAAAAAGACCAGTGTGTTCAGGAAGTGAAATGATTTGTGCTCACCATTTCATCACTGTATGTAGACTGGGTTAAGTTTGTTAAAGATAATTTTTCTTCAAATTGGAAATTTTAATTAGAGCCTCTTGTACAGCTTTTAGCTGTGTCCTTTATCACTGCCAAATGACGTTTGAAGGAATAGATGCTGCTTGTTGTGATAGGCATCATATCAGAACCTCAGGAGGATTTTATAACAAACATGCCGTCAACTCACCAGAGAGCAGGTTTAATAGGGCCACATAATGGAAAAGGAAAAATGACATTCAGCACAAAGCCAGCAGGCAGATGTGTTAATTATGCAAGTGCAGGAAATATGTAAATTGGCATTAATCTCACTTGGGGTAAGAAATTCCATAAACCCCAGAATGGGACTCATTGAAATTATTCCTCAGTCTTAGCCAATGAATGTGCAGGAGAAATTAAAACCAGAGAAGGAATAAAACATTCTTTAGTGTCCAAGTGAGATCAGAAACGTGGTGTTATACCACAAACGATATTATTAAAATTTTACCAGTGTGATCACATCTCAAAGCAACTATATTGATGGAAGACACTTCTGGACATTCTGTGTTCACAAAAAGTGCTATACGAATACTAAATACTGCAGCAGTCCTTGAGAGCTATAGGCTTGTTATAGGGTGATAATATTCACATTTGTAGAAGTCTAAGTGTGAATTGGCTACACTGCACACTCATAGAATAAATGAACTAGTGGATGATATTGTTAATATGGAGAAGAAGATAAAGAGCATGGTTTTACAGTTCTAATCTCCATCTTTAGCTACTCAACACAGATGCAGGGATGTTCCTTGTAGGAGTAGAAATTTAGTTTCCCTCGCCCATTGTCACTGCTAGATACTTTACTGATGACTCTTTTTCCAGAGGGTTTGAGAGTGGGTGCAAGGTGACTTTAATGGTGACTTTGACAGAAGATTTTCATGTGAATGCAGTTCTCATTATATGTGCAGTTTTAGATTCTTCATCTCTAGAGATGCTGATTCATGCTGGAATGTTTTTCCACTGACTGACTCAGGGCGTTCCTGTATATGAATTTGGGTGATAAAAGTTGGCAAGGTTTTCAACAACTTGGGCATTGTAAAGGTCATGACCATGCACATATTTCTCTCTCAATATAATTAAGCACTTTGCATTTGTACACTTTTTTTTTCCAGTTTAAGCTCCAACATCCATGTTTATAATGAAAGCTGCTTGTGTAAACTGGTTGTGTAAACTCGTTGCAATGTAACTGCACCATTCTTGCCAATGGAGATGCTGCAATATGACTAAATGTAATTGAAGCATGCAAAGTTTACATTGATTGTTCCCATTCTAACTATACACAGGAATTTAGCACAGAATTTCTTGTGAAGGGACAATATTTTGAACCTTAAAAGAACTAATTTGTGTGATGGTTTAACTAACTTCTGCCCTCGAGTAAATCCTTTTCACCTTCAAAGGATGCTTGGTCTTGACTCACTCTCTCTCTTTTGTGTAGTGTCACAGCAGATTAATTAGTATATATTCTCATTCTTGCAACAGCTATTAGACAGTGATATTAGAGAGTGGACATTGTGCTGCCTTGATCATTATCTCAAGGCGAGTTGTTACACTGATACTTAAGCTTACAGTTAACTTGGGACAAACAGAGGATGGAAACTGGCCAGTTCCAGATGTGATGGACCCAGCAGCACATTTGGCAGTGCATTCAATCATTGAGCCACAGACAATAGCAATCAGATTTTCTTTTTTCTATTAAAACTAGCCATGCAGAGTTTGAATGGGCCTTGAATTGGTGTTTCTTTTTGACGGTTTGTTTTTTGAATTATGAGCATCTTTAGAGTCAAAAATTTTGGCTGTTGCATGTATTTGTAGGTCATTTCCTTGGTACAACAGAACGTTGGACATGTCTTTGTTCTCTCCTATGTGCTGTCACCAGTGAGCTGCAAAGCGCTGTCGGCATTTCTACACTACATCACTGAAGTGCCAGTCATCGTTTGTGAACCCAGATAGTTAAATTTAGCAAGTTCTTCTGTGTGAGGGAATTACTGACACTTACATGGTGATACATTTGACATGTGCATAAATGCACCTTCCAATAGCATAACTAGATAACAGTGGGAGGCCTAACAGAGCCACCTCCACCCAAACAGGTTGATTGGCATCATCATTCCCACCCCACCTCCCAAAAAAAATTGGATAGTCATTCTGCTTGTTTTCCAGATTTGCATGGTAGATGTAATTTATTTTCACTCTTGCTTTTTGTTTTAAAGATAATTCACTATGAACTAAAGGCATATCTAATATTTGTGGTGGACTTTTTGTATAATCCGTGGGAGATTTATATCTGTTTTGCTGGAATTTGGAAAGTTTTAGGCTGCAGCAATCGGATTTTCTTTTTTCGATGAAAACTAGCCATGCAGAGTTTGAACCTCCACTGATGAAATGGAAAGTTGCTCATAAATCAACGTCCACTGCTGTGTTTGCTATGCATCAGCAGTTAGTCTGCAGCATGTTGAATAACAAAGCAGCAAAGCTTGTATGCCAACACTGCCCCCTAGTGCTTTTATGATGCACTGCTAAAGAAGTGAACAATAGAAACATTATCTAAATTTGTGCCAGTCCTGATGAGAGTTTTGCACCAGTCTGAATGTTTCCAAAATCTTTTTTGTGGAAAGAGGTATTAGATACAATACTCAGTAGTATACACATTGCACGCTCTGTAGGAAGGGTCAGTGGGTCAGCGAGATTAAATTATTCCATTGCCAACTCAGACTTAATGTTCCACTGCCACACGCATGTTTGCACTTCTTACTAATGTGACTGTTATGTTTTAGTGTGTGTAAGTGCAGTAGTTGTTGCAAAATACACTACAATACCAGAGCACACAGGACCAGCATATGTTGATGCTAATTATTGCCAACAGTATCTCTGATTTAGAACTGCTTCAACAGAATTTCTGCAGGAGGCCATACTGAAATTGTTTAATAGTTAATGAAACCACTGAATGCAATTCTGTATCACTTTATCCATATCTGATTATTTTCCAGACAGTTTCTACTCTTTCAGAGTAGAACAGTAATTAAACATGAACAGGATCTTAATTGTTAAGTGAGTTTATGTAAACATCAGTCTAAATATGATATGGACCAAACTTGGGCACCATTTCACCTGAACTCTAACCATACTTCTACTATAATGCACTTCATAAACGTGACGCAAATGTCAAAATTGAGCTTGTACTGCAAACACAAGGCTATATGTACATTGTGTTGTCTGTTTAATATCGTGTGCAGGGCTGTTTCTGCATTGTCTATGTTAATATGTGCATTGTGCTGCATGTTGGATTCTCTATATACATTGTGCCATGTGACCCAGTTACTGCAAGATTGTGTTGTACTTTGTTTGAAATTAGACTGAGCTGGTTTCAAAATGGTGAGGTCATGTGATCAGTTCCCACTATCCATCACTGGTCCATTGTTAAAATGGTTTTCTGAACATATTTCTGACCATGTTGCTGACCATGCCCCTCCCCCTTCCCCCATGCACACCCATTCCAATATTCCAAACTGGAAAGTTGGCTTAAGTCGCAAAAAAACATGGATAAGTTTATTTTAGAAATAAATTGTCTTTAATTTATGAACTCTTTGAATGCACTTGTAATCTGAAACCAGTTGCATTCCTTCTAAAATTTGCTTGTCTCATGCATCCTGTTTCTCAGTGGCTCTATAAAGATGCAGTGCTCGGTGTTTGAAAACAGCATCTCTAGGGAGGCTTTGAGGAAGTAGAGAGCTGGGTTTTTAAAAATGCTTTTGTCATGCAGACAGCTGGCCCTCCCCCCTTGCGTAGTGAGTTTGCTGGAGGATGTGCTGTTTGTTGAAATGTTTACTTTGATGCTGCATCTGCAGTTACATTATCCAGGAAGTATCTGTCAGAAGTATTAGTGCAAGAGGTCACGGTAGCTGTGAGGTTTTGATTCATGCCTCAGAAATTGCTGCCAATTGGAAGGCTTTGCAAGGTCTTGGATTTCCTGGGAGGTAGTGTCTTAAACAGTTTGTTCAAATGTTTGCAGCAGATACATTAATGTTACGAGTAGCTCTTGCAGATAAGTCTTCAGGTTTATTGGAGCAGCCAGTCAGTTAACTCTTGCGTGAACATGTTGATTAGAGCATAACCAGTATTGTGTATAGAATGGAAAAATAGATTTGTAATCTGCCTCATAGAATGTCTCGATGTATATTTCTCAGAATAAATCTTGTAGGAAAGAAGTATTCTGTTTGAATTTTGAAGATTTACATTTCCAATAAAACATGTTGTAGTTTGTTTGACTCAAACTTGTTTATCTTGGTGGGATGAGAGAAATTGACTTTACCTGGATGCTTTTAATTTGAAAGCTCAATTCACATAACCAGTCCCATTCTGTGGGAACAAGTTTCTCCATCTTGTTCTTTCTCAATGGACTTTCTCTCATTACACTACAACAAGTAAAATATTCATTATTTTAGAACACAAATTGGTTCAGTGAGTAAGTGCACCAGCTCTTGTGTTAGTGACACCTGAAGTATACAGATCAGGAAAATGCTAAGTTCTATCCCAGGCCTCTGCTGACATGGTCGGCCTCGGCTTGGGCAGGAGTTGCACACTGATAAAAGTGGCAACACTGAACTAAGTAAGGGGGAATAATGTTAGGCTTTTGCTTGTGAGTGTTTTGTAGGACCCTTGCTAGAAAGTATGGACAAGACACAGCTGGGTGGTGTTGTCAAGCAATAGGATTAAATAGCATGTCAGTTTACTTCAAGGAACCATGTCCCACGAGGAGGAGGAGTAAGGAGAAGGGACATGTTTCCATTAGACATCGAATTATCAGAGCACTCCTAATGAATTAACGTGAAGCAGTGCAATTTTAATATATTTGTTGAAGGCAATGGAAGGCTGTAGTCAGTGATTGCTCCCATTTCTATGCAACATGTTTACTTCTGAAAACTTTATGGTTCTGCTCAAGCTGAAAGCAAATTGAGCTTAATTGACTAGGTGAGGGAGGGGTACTCTTTGGTCTTGGTTTCTCTTTCCCTTCTGTTCAAAAAAAAGTTTCAAGATATCAAACTTGAATCGCAGAATTTTTTAAAATGCTGAACCTACCAGCAAGTGTAGCGACTTGATGTGAAGCTGCTCCTTGTAAGTCTAGAAATGGAAGTAGTTGGCTCGGTCTCAAACTAATTGGTCCAAAAGCTTTATTTACCACGTTTCAACAGGAGTCTTTTAATGAAATGATGAGATGTAAATTCTGTAGTGTGTTCCATTCTCACCAACACAAAAGAACTACAGGTGCAAATGCATTCCGGCTTCATTAACTTCCACTCCCTTTTAATTTGCGTAATTTCATTTTCTCTCTTGCTCGTTGCTGTTAATTAGGGCATCCTCTAATCAGTACTATTTATCACAGTGGTACTCATGTTTGGTAAAGCTGCTTTGCAGAAATGCTAAATGGCTAATTAATGTCTGTTAATTAAGAAAATTGCTCGTGGTAACAAACTACATTGTCGCTGGCAGCAGCCTAGACACTAACACTTGTTGAAAGCACAAACATGGCAGGTCTGCAACAGCTGTTACACTTCTTTTAAAAAAAAAAAAATCTGAGTGGCTCTACGGTTCTCCGAGCCTTCTACAACTTGATGCGCTGACGCTATAACCCCCCTCCTCTGCTCTCTAACCTCTCGCAGGGACCCCCAGGTTCTCAGCCCTCGCCACATACACAGCCGCCTCCTCACAATCCTAACAACATGATGGGACCCCACAATCAGGTAATAAGCTGGTGCAATTGCTTGGGTTCATTTTAATTCAAAAGGCACAAGAGTTTCAACATTCGACTAATGATTTGACTTTGCTTGCTGTCGTCTTATGTACGAGACTCCTAATCAGGTTGTCCCCAGAAGTGAAACTTCCATTTAAGGCTCTTCTAAATTAAATGGATTTGTTTGAGCTTGGGGCTGATAAAAGCCATGCTTTTTTTTAAAATTGGGTTTTCTTCCCCACTACTCTCCTGCCTTCTTCTGAAGGTGTGCTTGAGATGTGGTTGGTGTATTGTTGGTTTCTCTCCAATAACGTGCTCATTGGCCATTCTGATCCTTAGTGAATGTGAGGAGGTTTTTTGCCTCTGGAAGGCATCACAGCTGAGCTCTGTCCTTCCCTGCCATCTATTACAGAATGCACATGCTCCTCCACAATAGCCAATACAAAGCAAACAGAAGCAGGAGCACTGGCTGATTTCTGTTCTCCCAACCTTGCCCCCTCAACCCTTCTTCCCCACTCTTTTCCCCCCCTCCCCCCCCCCCCCCCCCAAACCCCCATGCAACCCCTCAAAAACACCCCTTTCAGGAGTACCACTGATGCTTTGCCCAGCACAGTCCATAACCTTGGACTTGTTAGTCCACATGATTCAGTATTCAGTATCATCCCATATGGTGCATTTATTCATTGAGCCATTGGGCAGGGTGAAACCCTTGTCTTAAACTTGGTTATGTTAAGTCAGTCTGGATCACTAGCATCATGGGAACATGTGCAACTTCAGACAGAAGGGCCAAATATTTTTGTTTTTGTGCGATACTGACCTCACGGTCAAGACTACATGATCCACGGGAGTTAGGAAGGTTCACTCCTGGGATAACCCGGTTAGCCTTTTCTATAATTTTTCCTTCTGTGATTGCAGTTACTTTTATATGTACTCAACTTAGTGAGTAGATCACTGCCCTGATACTGGACCTGTGAACATTGCCATTTATTTGTAAGCGTGTTCCAAGATTCTGTGTTTGAAATGTTGACAGCCGAGTTACGTTATTGGTATGTGTATATGTCTGTGTGTATATGTGTCAATATACAATGTGCAATTCCTGTTCATAGCATTCTTGCAGATTGTTACATCACCTTACTCTGCAGTGTCGAAGAATGACATCACACTGTTGCAATCAAGTTCTTAGTCACTGAGTTCCTCAGTCAGAGTCCATTATATTGAGAAATCATCATCTGCAAAATTGTGTATTTTTACCATGTGTTGAATCCTTTAAACACGAGTCAGATGTGAAGCCGTTAATACTCTTGATTACCCTTTTATGAATATGTATGTGGATACAAAATTATTATGCTAAAAAACTTCATGTCCTAAATTATTGGTGGTTACGAATAAACAATCTTTTGTTTATTCCAGCAAGAAATCCAAATTTGTTTGTAAATATTATTATTTCTTCTTCATTCCTTCCACTACTTTTTGGCTGCTACAAACTGCCCAGTAAGAGGTGGCCAAGAGAAGTCAGCATTGTTTGCAAATTTCTCCTTGTCTTTCTGGGAGATGGTTGACCAAGTTTCCAAGAATGTCTTCAAGAAAATTGGTTAACTGTATAATTGTAAATCTTGATCAATTGTATGCTGAAATTTAATCCATAAGTGGATATTTCACATTTAATTGGGAGCCCCGAATTCGATTTTTGTTTTGTATCTTTTTAAAAGCCTAAGAGTTCCTGAATTCTCAGTATTTTGGTTTTGTTTAGATTTATTTATTGAGTGGAAATGTCTGTAAATATCTGTTTAAATAAATCTGTTTGTAAAATTGCTAGTTTACACTTCAATTTTGTAAAGTAAGAGAAGTTAGAGTCGTAGAGATATACAGCACAGAAACAGACCGTTCGGTCCAACTCATCCATGCCGACCAGATATCCCATTTAACTTAGTCCCATTTGACAGCATTCGGCCCGTGTCCTTCTAAACCCTCCCTATTCACGTACCCATCCAGAAGCCTTTTAAATGTATCAGCCTCCATCACTAGTTCTGGCAGATTTTTAAAAACAATCAAAAAGAACCCACTCTAATCACTATTGTAGATTTACAAAAACAAAACTAGCCACTTAGCTGCTCCCCTGCTGTGATCTCCCCGCACAGGTTTCTCCAAGGTCAGCTGTGAAGTTTGCTGTTTATTTTTCTTAGACAAACCCTGACGTCCAGAGGTACTTGAAATCAAACAGAGGCAGTGGCAGTGGCAGTGAAAGTTCACTGCTGGGCCAGACAGCAGTGTAGGTTTCTTTCTCCATTGATTCACTTCCCACCATGTGGTTACAGCCTTTGTCTCCCTTCCTCCTTTTGTTTTTAAAAGTGCCATTGTTTTGATCTTTTTATCCTAAAGTTCCAAAACAATACGACAGTTTATGAAACAGTGATTACTGCTCCTAGAATTCGAGGAAATCAGCTCCAACACTGAAAATACCTCAAAAAAAAAGGAGGCGCTCTTGCAGATACAAATGTTTCCCCGTCCTCTATTTTCTTCCTAACTGAACCATTATTGAGTTTCACTTGACCTGTTGATCTTTGCAGCTTTACTGATCTGAACATCCTAAAGTTTTTAGTTTTAGCAGCATTGGCCCCTCAACAGTGGCAGATCCCTTAATTTGCCAGAAATCAATGCGCGAGCCGTTTTACTGTTTGAGCACTCCTGACGATTGACCATGTAATACATTGTTTAATTATTGGAACCAGTTTGTTACTGTATGAATCAAGATGGTTCAAAGTTAAAAGCTACAAGGACCTTTTCTCCGCCCACATCCTCTTCCACCCCCACCCCAATCTTTTTTCTTTGGAGGGTCAGAAGTTGAGTTTCAGGCTACAACATCCAGTCAGACTGCTGTCTTTTCTATGGTCTTTCACCAGGGTATTTGAAGGGAATTTGAGATTTTTAAAAGCATAGTGTGTTTAAAAAGTGAGTTATGATTTTCCTTTCTATGGCATCACAAAATCCTCATAATTTTGGTCCAGTTCCAACGTACTGCCAAGGATTCAATCAAGTAATTTATTCTTACAAGTGATATCACTCAGTCTCTATTTTCATTTTCTCCATGACCTTTTTTATGCAAAATTATTCTATTTGGGTAGCAAATTCTGCTGTCCACTCAGCAAGTTAAGGAATTCAAAGTGTTTGTTTTGATCTTGTACCTCACAACAGGTCACTGCATTGACTTTGGTAATTTATTTTACTGTTGCAAGAGTTCACAGGTTTCAAACTTTTTTTTATTAAAAAGAACTGACTACATAAGAACAAAATGTTAGAATTTTAGCTGATTGTAGATTTAACCAATTCTATGTGATTGCAGCCTTTTATGTCACCGCGATACGCAGGAGGTCCAAGGCCCCCTATCAGAATGGGAAGCCAGGTACTGTACCAACTGTTTGTCTCACTGCCACAATTGGTGCTCCCATCCTGTATATGTATTTAGCTAACTGGCTTGTCGAGATTGTTTAATATGGAGGGAGTGACAGAAAGTTTGGAAGAAGAGTAGGCAATTCAACCCCTCAAGCCTGTTTTGAAAGTTCATGAGAGTGGAACTTCTCTAACTCCGTTTTTTTAATATTCTGTCAAGCAAAAACCTAGTGATCTCAGGTGTAAAATGATCAATTGAGCTACCATCTCTCACTTGTAGGAGTAGGTTTGACATTTTTACTAACTTTCATTCCCACCTCTTGCATGCAGAAATTATTCATGGCTTGTTTCCTAATTGACCTGGCTGACTTTCAGGTTGTGTTCTTATCCTAGAGTCCATAGAGTCCAATTGTCAGCAGAAAAGTTTCTTTTAAAATCTTAAACCATTCTATCAAACTATCCTTCAACTGCCTGATCTCCAAGGAATGCAAATGAAGTTAATGTGTCCTTAACTGTTAGTTTCTGGGAATAATTTCTATACAGTCTGTGTGCTTTTCAAGCCAAACATATCCTTTCTAAGATGCGCTACTTAGAGACTGTACGCAGTGCTCCAGATGTGGTCTAACCAGGATTTTGTTTAGCTGTAGCAAAACTTTCTCCTATTACTGCTCTGGTCCTCTTGATGTAAAGGCTAACATTGCATCCTTTTTGTTTGATTATTGCTTTTACATTTTAGAAATGTATGGCCGTGGATCTCTCAATGTGTTTTGGAGACCATTGTTCCTAACTTGTTATCATTTAAATAATATTGAGATGTCTCCATTTTAGTTCAAAATGGTTTCCTGTATTAAACATGGGCGGTGTTGTGCTTGTTGTCAAATCAACTGTGAAATTTTGTTCATTGTATTTCTTGTGCAAATATTGAATTGTATTCAGTTGGCTTCAATGTCAGATCTGTAAAGGCATGGAGCTGTATGCTGTATTTTGAAAATTAACGTCAGTGACACCGGTTCTCCCTCTGAATTTCAAACTCTGGGACAAACTATCAAAGTAGAGATTTTACCTTTGTAATTTAACTGAGGAATGTTGCTTCTAGAAATTATATACTGAAACGTGTGGCAATGTATCTGTGCAGCAGTAAAACCTCAAAGAATTTGAGCTGAAATTCTGGTTACAGAAATGGTTCTCCTTAGTTACTTTATTGTTGGTATGTCTTGTTGGGACTTGAAGCCAATACTATTGAGAGAATGTTCAATTTCTCTCAGCTGGGAACTTTGGTGTCTAGTCAGAGTCAGATTGTTGCTGTTTGTGGTTTGTAATGCCTTCACTGAAAGTACTACATTGTAGTGCCCAAGCATGTGAATGTTGTACCCCTGTTATCCCTAACTGCTCCCCGGTCACCCTTGGAGAGACATGTTTCTGGGAGCAGCAGAGAGCAGTTCCAGTACCTCTTCAAAAAATCAATCTTTAATTGAGTTGAAGCAGCGTTAGGAAGTGTTGTGGCATCACAACTGAGTGATAGTAACCACCTTTACTGTTCAGGATTGTGAAACTTCACAATTTCAAAATTATCAGAACATTTGCTACCAGGGCTATTTGATTGTGGTCTGTTATATCTTTAACCAGATAATTTCTTTTTCCTCCACCTGCATTTCGTGCCCTGCCATGCCATGAAAGCATTCCCCCCGCAACCAACAACACCGCCCCCCACCCCCCCCCAACAATGAGGAAAAGTTTAATTTCACCAGCGAGTGAAATCAGTAAATTTGCTGGACTGATTTTAAATGCCTTTAACAATTTTAAACTAATTCATCTTTTTTAAAAACGTCTAAATGGTAGAGGCAACAGGAACTGCAGATGCTGGAGAATCTGAGATAACCAGGCGTAGAGCTGGATGAACACAGCAGGCCAAGCAGCATCAGAGGAGCAGGAAGGCTGACGTTTCGGGCCTAGACCCCCGAAACGTCAGC